GTGCACCCGCATCAAACACCAAAAAATTTGTGAAAATGTACATGGCAACACCTTTGCGGAGGCCGTCTACTCCTCATACCTCCAACACACCAATCAACGCCCTAGGATCATCTTGCATTACATCCAGGCGGCGAAAAGATTTGAAGTCGTCACGCGCCAGGCCGGCTCCAACATGCTGCTGGGATCCATGTCCACAGGGGACATCATGGCGGCCAAGGCCTTTGTTTTTGGCATGAGTTGGACTCAGTGGGCAACGGCGGCCGAGTACCAGCAGTACATCAACGCGGGTGGTCCACCAGTGGCGGACACCAGAGTGACTCGAGGCGGCACCGGTCGCAACACCGGGAGAGGTCGGTCACCCAGTGCACGTAGAGGGTATGCATCTCGGCCGGCAACACCTACACGCACATCGTCTCCTACACCGACTTTGTCCGGGCCAAGGGTGACCACCACCACATCGGCGTCATCGGGATCCACATCGGCACCCTCCTTTGGCAGAGGCGACACCGAGCAGCCCGCGGCTAAGGCTCCACCACCGCCCTTCGTGCCGGCGAAGTTCCCACCCACATCGACGCGACAGCCATCGCCACACAACAAGCAGCCACGATCACCACCACCCAGGGCAGCGTCACCGTTAGCCAGGATCATCCAACAAGCATGCTGCGGCGGCGGTGGCATCGAGATCAAGCCCATGCCCAAGAAGGCACCACCACCCATCCCAGTCGACGACGAGGAGCTGGAGACACCAACGGCCAAGCCACCGCCACAAACCGCCAACGTCGTAGCACAGGCCATTGCAACTGGCAGAAAGGCGCCACCGCCCGTTCCAACACAGGCACCGATGCAGCAACCGCCACCTCGAGCGACGAGCACCACAGCCCAACAGGAATACGACCCATGGAACGACAGAGACGATCATGTCACCTCCGACCCAGTCATCGAGGTCTTCACGCCGGCAGCAGCGATCGCCAGGACACCATCACCGGCCAGACCACAGCCAGACACACCGCCGTTGGGCAGCAACATACACACCTTGGCAGGATTCGTTTTCACCACCGACACCGTGCCCACCAGCACCCCTGCCGGCCTTGCAGCCCCTACATGTTCCACCTCACAACGTCGCTGCGCAGTGCGGGGCGGAGGTCATCCCACGGCACATGCCAACAGCCAATCCACCTCAATTCATGGGCACCTACCACGACGGCAGACCGGCCGCGTCCAGCCTTGTTCCAATACGCGGGCTGGTCCCAACCTCCCTCGACGGGGGCGCAGCACCTCCGAACCCCATGCCGCCCTCTGCATGGGGATACAATGGCAACAACCTGCCATACCGGGTTGCCACGATACATCATCAAGTGCCGGCCTTACCTCCGACACCCCCGCGCGAGGTTCAGCAGTTTCCACCCGGCAATTACCCCTACCTGGCTTTCGCCGAAGACGCACCCTGGCTCATCAACGCATCGATGCTGCTGGCAATGGAGTCGGCCTTGGACTATGACCTGCTGGCTTCCCGCACGTCTATCTTCGGCCTCATCTTGGATGCACCGAACGGTACAGACCTCAACAAGGTGCAGAGCGTGTTCTTTGGATGCCATTGCCATCACCAGGCACCGACGTGCTCACCATGGTCACACAATCCTATGTGTGGTCGTTGATGACGGGAGCCATCGCAGCAGCGGGACACCAGAACGCCGAGCAATGCTACAACGTGGTCCGTGACTTCATGACGTTCGC